AAATTGCTCTCTATATTCTTCCATTGTTCCAGTTTGTTTTAGACTCAACAACAATTCAAAGAGACTTTGGATCATTGATGGTTGGAATCGTTTGAGTATGGTTGTTCTGAATTCCTCCCAAGTTGAGTTTGGTGTAGAAAACTCCCACCATTGAAACCAAGCAAGTGCTTTGCCCTCCATAGCCACCATCACATCTTGTAACTTCACGTCCTCACTTATCTTCTTTAAGTCAAAGTAACGTTCCACCCTGTTCAACCAACCATAGATAACAACTCCTTCAAAAATTGGAATTTCCAGTTTTCGCCATCGCTTTTCGCAAAACCTTGGAGGACAATGATTCACAAACGCATCCTCTTCATCCAAATGGCTGTGTCGTGTTCCTCCTGGATTTTGGCGCCTCGTGCGACGAACGATTTCAACCAATTCTTTCATTTTCCATTTAACCTCTATTCGCTCCACACAGTTTTCTTCGCGTTGTTTCTCCATTGTTTCTTTCATTGCTAACAGTGCTTCAAATTCACGTTCGAGAATTTCCAACCTGGCCTCCATTTCCCTCGCGTCGATACCATAAAGCAGTCCTTGAAGGAAACTGCTCTGATACCATTTGGTAGAAATTGATTATCACACAATAAAATTTAATAGTAATTACAATGAGTTTCCAAGAAATTCGAGAGACTTGGTTCTCTCCCTTCCAAGAAATTCGAGAGTCTTGGTTCTCTCCCTTCCAAGAATTCGAGAGCTTGGTCTCTCCCTCCTAAATATAGTCTTTTTCTAATTTTCAGCTTGCCTAGAACATGGTTCTATTTCCCTTTTTATTCTACCTAAGTTTTGTAGCTGCTCCTAATAATAATAATTGTTACTCTAATAATTCTAATGACTGCTCTTAGGCTCTCTAACTGCTACAAATAACATTTAATAAGGTTGCTCATATGCTTGTAACAGACCGAATTGATAGAATAGAACAACCACATTCTGTTTTGATTCCTAGTAATTCCTAAAGTTTAATACAATCACATAATTTGTATTTATTGTAATTACATGATAAACAATTTTGTGTAATAAAGAAACAAACAATTTGTATTTCTTTGATATTTCAGGAAGTAATACATGAAAGATATTTATAGAATACAAGGGACAAATCACTTAAATACTAATTTTAAATGCTAATTTTAAATATGGTAGAAGACAACTAATTACTAATTATTAATAGCTAATTACTAATTGTTATTTACAATGAATATTATGCTGCGTTGTACTTATCTCTCTAATAACTTCCAACACTCTCCCTCAAGCTGGGGAATGGATATCTATTATTCCCAACTTACAAGTAAGATCTCGAAACCGCTCCAAGAGAAGTCCTTTGGCTAGCACATCAGCTAACTGAAGTCTTGATGGGACGTACTGTGTAGAAATAAGACCACTATCCAATTTCTCTTTGATGAAGTGTCAGTCTATCTCTATATGCTTTTTTATGTCGTGTTAGACCGGATTGTGAGCAATACTAATTGCAGACTTACTATCGTAGAAAAGTCTCATAGGAGCTTCATACTTTACTTTTCAAGTCATCTAGAATGATCTTCATTCACAACAGTTCACAAACTCCTTGAGCCATGACTCTAAACTCTACCTCTGCACTTGATTTGGCAACTACATTTTGTTTCTTGCTCCTCCATGTCACTAAATTTCCACTTCAGACTTATCTTTCATAAGAAAAACCCATATAACCCGAGTACAATCATCAATAAAAGTAACATACCATTTTGCACTAGAAATATTGGAAATGGATGAAAGCCCCCATACTTCAGAATGAACAAGATCAAAGGATTCAACATTCCTAGTATCACTAGGGGAATAGGTTGCTCGATGGGATTTGGCAAACTGGCACACATCACAACGAAAGGAATCAACAAACATTTGATAAATAGGTGAGGGAATAGAGACCTGGACATGCGGAAAGAAGGATGTCCAAAACGCATGTGTTGGAGCCATATTTGAGTATTTGCCCATGACTCTGAACCAACCTGATGACACTTGCTTTCCTTATGAGACAGACAATATAACATGTTCTATTTCTCAACAATTCCAATCGTCTTATGTGACAAGGTCTTGAAAAACACAATGAGAATGAAAAAAGGTTACAACACAATTCAAGTCTCTACTGAGTTTATGGATGGACAAAAGATTGTTAGAAAGCTTAGGGACATGAAGTAAAGGTCCGACAATCGGGGTTTGAGACCCATTTGCAACGGTAATATGGTGTTTATTAAGTAAAGGTGAATAAGAAGAGAGATATGACATATATGGGGTCATGTGATCAGTTGCATCGGAGTCAATAATCCAGAATCTAGATATCTTTAGAACAAGAGGCATTAAAAGCTAAGAAGCTAGAGTTCTTACAAGTCATGGTCAGAAAACTAGTGTTAGAGAACTTACTTAAGGAGTCTATAAAGAGAAACAAACCATCTCGAGCCAGGAGAGTCGAGATATACTGTTAGGAGAGGATCAAAGGGCTGCCAATGAGAAACTCCAACAAAGATGACAACCAAACAATCAAGGGTTGCAAACAACAAGAAACAAAGGTACAACAATGAAGGCTGTCATGAAAACAACAATGAAGGTAAAACCGTCCGGATCTACAACGTCGGTTGAGCGGTGCATGACGGCTGCAAAGTCACCGAGATCACTAGGGTTCCAAGAGAAAGGGAACCTTGACCAAGAAAAAAGGGTCGTAATAAGATCGGCTAGTGTTTTGAGCGTGGAAGTAGAGCCCTTAGAATCGGGTGCTCTGATACCATAAAGAAACAAACAATTTGTATTTCTTTGATATTTCAGTAAGTAATACATGAAAGGTATTTACATAATACAAGGGACAAATCACTTTAAATGCTAATTTTAAATATGGTAGAAGACAACTAATTACTAATTATTATTTACAATGAATATTATGCTGTGCTGTACTTATCTCTCTAATAACTTCCAACATGTAATCTGATTAAATACACTGAAATTAAAGAAGCTACTGCACTGATTGATCTTAGGCCTGAATTAACTATTTTGTCGAAGTGTAATCTTACAAGTAGATATTTAATTAGGATTTTACCTAATGCCTGTATGTCTTTTTATCATGTTTTGGGTGGGGGACATTTGCAGTTTTCAATTTGGGATGAATGACCGACCTTAGTATATCTTAATTCTCAGATGCACCTGGGCAAGAAAAAATCATCTACTAAAATGCTTAGATCTTTTACAGGTTCCCTGGGGCATCATCTGTGACATTTACACACGATGGAACCTCCATTGTCAAGGAAAGCCCATATTTAGATATTTGTAATGATGCTGTCAGCTCCGATTATTCTAAGGATGACAATTCTGATTCCACCATAATTGAGGCTTCTGCTCGATCTGCAATGGATTGCTTGTCAAGTTTTCCCGTGTCTTCAACTACTGGAAGTAAAATACCAATAACAGTTACTCCTGAAAAGAGGCTAACTGCAAATGATAATCGAGAAAAAGAATCATCTTTGAATATGAGTGTTAATTCTCACAATCCAAAAAGGAGAAAGCCCATGGCCATACCATTTATAAACCTCATTGAAGAAGAAAACAACGCATCTTGTGTCAGCACTCCTACATGGTACACAAAAAGTTCAGTGGAAGTTAGAGATGCAACTAATGGAACTGAAAGTAGTTTTGGGAGAATTTTAAACTCACAATCTCCTCAGTTACCAACAAGCAATTTACCCGGTTCATGTTCTTTAACCGTCCCTCTACTAGACAAAAGGTTACAGCTATTTTGTTCACTCTGTAAAAACCCATTGGGACGACATGAGAACCATCAATATCTTACATGCTCTTTGATTTCATCATCAAAAGTTCATTTGAGTTTCCTTTTAAAAGAGAGACTGAAAACTGCCAACACAGAAAAAAGTGTACCAATTATTGTTACTGATTCTTCATTTGTTGATCAACGTATTTGCAATAGAAAACCTACAAATACACAGGAGCAGGGTATATGGTGTCCAGAAGATGGGTGTGTTTTCAGCCCAATTTTTTGTCCTTTCTGCAGTAATACCAACAATTTGCTTGGAGTTCAGGTCATGGCAACCAATTCATCAAATGTTCAGTTACTTGACAAGGTGCATTTTACTGCCAACATCAGACAACTTTGTTTCACTTGTACTTGAATCTAAAATATGAGTGTTCTTTTTGTATCATATTTGCTGTTTTGACTGGTCTAGTTCCAGCTATGCCAATTTTTCTTTTTGATGTTCTTCCAATTATAGTATTTACTAACATGTTCTCCCCAGGTATTGTTTTTCTTTGATTCTTTGGAAGTGAAAAACCATGAGGAAACAGGGAAAAATGCTTCAGAGGAAGTGGTAAGATTAAATCATATCGTTAGTTACTCTTTTGCATTAAGCTAATATTTAACTGCAGTTGAGTGACAATAACCAATCTGTTTTCTAGTGTAATGCCAAAAGTAATGATTTTATGGCTGGGATTTTTTTGAAACTTGGGTGCGGTATTATTTGAATTAAAGATATGGAAAGACCAAACTAAACAAAACAGCCTTTTGCTTTCTTGTTTTATTTCCTAATCAGTATAGGCCTTGAATTATTTTATTGAATTTAAGAAAGTGATTATTGTTATATTCAATACATGTGAAGTTTCATCTTTACTTTTGAAATTGTTGTGATATATAATAGCCCAATAATCTCTTTTGAATTGCTATAGGGTATTTTGCCAGTTATAAACTCTGGTATGGATGGAGTTGCTGCCTTAAATTCCTTTGAGAAATATTCTTATGTTCCCCAACCAGGGAAATCAGAAGTCTGGAATTCTAGAAAATCAAAGGTCAAAAATTAAAGAGTGCTCTAAGAATTTTTTTTTGTTGATGGTTGGGTAATCTTTCATCTCAGACTTGTGTTATTTTTAAATGGTGCAGCCACGACTAAGAGGCTTGCCTTAAGCAGAAAGTTGAAGCTAGTAAGATTGGAATTATGGTGCAATTCGGGCAATCATCGAGGTAGGGATGCTCTTCTCTCCAAAATTGAAAGTGTTTATCCAGACCAAACTTCTCCTATGTTTTCCATTAGAATTGCAATTCTTGACTCTATTGCTTTTAAGTGGCCCTAAGTTAGCTTTATCCTATATACAAGATGCAGAGCTTATGATACTGAATTTTGGGATTCGTTTCCACTCTCCTGCCTTCAAAATCCAACGCCAAGTGTGTGTTTGGTTACGCGTTCAGAAAAAGAAACGTACGTTTGGGCTTTTCTCCGTGATTTTGTTTAGTTTTTGAGAAGCTAGGAATTCCAGCTTTAACTGGAACCGCTTCTGAGCAGATTCTGCCGTGAAAACAAATATACACTAAGACTCACTGCATGCAATAACATTGATAACCAGGTGACCCACCTGTGTGTTGGTAAGTTCAAGAAGAGGATCTCAAAGTTACCCCAAAGATGTCAGAATGACCTGAAGTGCAATGGAGTATACCTATATCATTTTGTAAATAGTGATATCTTAGTACATTTCCTGTAGTGCCGACCTTCCTACTCCTGAAACTCGTGAGTAGTAGTAGTATATCATTATTAACTTAAATAGGTAGTGGATTGTATTTGCTTGTCTATAAACTATTTAAGCTCGATTTCTATTTGATAAAATTAAAGTTTTGGAGGCACGATTGTAGTTTTGTAATTAACTACACATCAATAATACATGCTAAGGCAGAGTGGAATGGAAGAAAATGATTTTGTTTTATTGTTTGAATATTTCATAAAAGTTGAGTGTAGTGTGTACTATAGATGTTTTATGAAGTTTATAGGCAACTCTGTTAGCTTTCCAGAGACATGTTCAAGAAAATTTCATAACTTAGGTGGAATATTCATTTGCCATAACACATTTCACTCACCTGCATTTTGTTAGAATGATAGTAGTACAATGGTTGTTCAAACAAAAACACAATAAAATATGAATATAACCTCAACAAAAGAGAAATTATATACTCATTGAGGGGAGCCGAACAACAACATTGGAATTAGCTTTCACTAAAAAAGTTAAGCAATAAACACAAATTCAATCTAAATATTTTGATAAAAAATGGAAGTCTCAAATTTCACTGGCTTACAATGATTAATGAATATTTAACTGTTTCGTACTTTAACAAAATAACTAATTGCAAGTTACGTATGATTATACATGGATAATCACATGATTAACCTTAGTAAATTTTCTAACAAAGTTATACGTTTTATAAAGTATTTGATTACAAATCTAATTAATTAAATCATGTATTTCTCAACCATCGTGACAATTCATCAGAGCATGTCATTCAAAATCAACAAAACATGAAAGCAAACTAACCTAATAAACATACAATCCAACTATGAAAAAATAAATGAAGCAACAGGAAAATGTAAACACACAAAGCAAATCAACGTAAAGATAAATTGTCGCATGATTGACGAGCTTTGTGTGACTGCTACCCTCTCTTTAAAAATTAGACCTGTCCGCACATAATTTTTGGGGGTAAGTACATGCAATATTTAGTACAAAATAGAAAATCTAGTATTGAGACCTTTTTTCCCGCCTGGAGAACTATCCCCCGCTTTGCCATACATCAGAGCCCAACGTTTGATTTTAGACATTTTTTTTGGAGCAAATAGTATATCTCTTGAGTGAAATATGCAGAAAAGCTAGTTTCAAAATAAGTGTCTCAAAAACCATTTCAAGCTTCAATTACTCCTAAATGTTCAAAAAGTGATTAAATATTAGAAATTACATAAATCAATTAACAATAAAAAAAAATTGGATTGTCTACTAACAAGTGTTTGTTTAATGTTGTTAGTTCGATACCTATGTTATGGAGGAATATAACATGTTACTGTGTCAAACCATCTTATTGGTCGTTATTTTTCCATTGTGTCAATTCTTTGATCCATGACACATCACATTCAATATGATATCAACATTTTAAATGACTTTTTTGGTTTTCAATTGAGGTGGTTTTCCAATATGCTCCTCATTTTCTTCGTCATTTTCAAGTCTTATTTTTTGTGACATCTATTTGAAAGGAAATTTTTTTCTCCTTAAGAAAATGAATGTTTTTTCACCCGCATATGAGATGAAGCGAGATAGGGTGGCGAGACGATCTATGAGCTGCTGCACTTCCTTAACTCTGGAAGGGTTTCTCATGGCGATGAATGACTGACATTTGTTGAGATTTACTTCAATGCCTCTTTTCGTCAGCATAGACCTTAGGAACCTTCTAGTCCGAACTCCAAAAGAGCACTTGATGGAATTCAAGCACATATTGTATTTTCTGACTGATTTCAGGACATCCTCTAAATCTTCGACATGGTTGCGTCCTTTGATAGTTTTCACTATCATGTCGTCAACATAGAACTCTAGGTTTTTCCCTAAGTGATGGGAGAACACACCGTCCATGAGTCGTTGGTAGGTGGTGCCAACATTCTTGAGGCCTAAGGGCATGGAATTGTAGTAGTAGTTGCCATGATTTGACATGAATGCTGTTTTGGGGGCACTGGGGGAACCATCTGAATCTGGTTGTACTCCGAATATGTATCCATGAAGCTCAACATGTGGTAGCCTAATGATCTATCGATAAGACGATCAATATTCGGTAGTGGATACAGGACCTTGGGACAAGCGACATTCACGCGCCATCTGTTGTTTCCTCAACAACACTGTGTTGGCTAGCCAGATAGGGTATTTTATTTCTATAATTATCCCTACTTTGGATAACTTGCCTACTTCCTCGTCAATGGTGACCCTCTTCTCCTTGCCAAATTTCAGATTCCTCTTAGCCACTGGTTTGGCAGAGGGGTGAATGGTGAGGTGATGACTCACCACCTAATGTCTATCCCAGGAATGTCAGAGAGCCCCTAGGTAAACAAGTCAATGTTTTTAATGAGTTGGTCGACCAACTCATGCTCTTCATTCTTGGTAAGCGTAATACCTGTCTTTGTCATCTGATGGGCTGAAGGGTCTATTTGGACATTCTTCATGTCCTCCGTGGGTATGAGCCTTTCAACGTCCACATCCAACCTTTGAATCCAACAATCATGGTCTACATTTTGGACTTCAGGGAAAGGGCGCCTATGAGGGAGAGCTCTTCGCTCTGTGTCGCCAGGCTAATATGATAGCATTCTTGAGCGATTTGTTGGTCTACTCCAATCATGTTGCCTCACCCTCATGGTTGCGGGTACTTCAGGATCAAGTACTGAGTGAAAATAATCACCCTTAGTGAATTGATGGCGGGTCGACCTAAGATGATATTTCAGGGCAATTGGGCGTCAACAATAAGATAGATGACGTCTATCGCCTTGTATATGCTCCCTCACCACATGTTATCTATAGGGCCACATGGCCCCTTACTTGTACCTGTTCGTCTGACAATCCTATTAACGAGCCACTAAACATATTGAAATTGTTAGGATTGAGCTGAAGTTTCTTGAAAGGGTCCTAAAATATTACGTTAGTAGAGCTCCCAAGATCTATTAAGACTCACTTGATATCCCAGTTTCCATATTGCACAGTGATGACCAGAGGGTCATTATCATGAGAGATGATTTATATGGCATCCTTGTCATAAAAGGTGAAGTTAACCCATGTTTCCCCTCGTCCACCCTTGGGGAAACCAGGAGATATCACATTTGCAGTAAGCGCATGCCTTATGTATTTCCTTCTGGAAGAGATGGAACAACCTCCTCCAATGAAACCCCTAACTATGGTGTTTGTGCTAGGGCGTGGAGCTTTATCGTCCATCTTCAAAAGGGAGATGGAAGTAACGAGAATAAAAGAGGTGTGACCCAAGTTAGTTTTACTGAAGCCCTACGGTGGGCGCCATTATAATGGTCAAAAAGTAAAAGTGTACTTGGTATCTCTACAAGGATAGGGGATACTTAGAGGTCTTAGTAGGTTTATAATAATTTGGGGGTAGTTAGGGTTTTCTCACGAGGGATAGAAGCTTGTTGGAAATCCACCAAAGTCTATGATGAATTTCTACCACAATGACAATTTAATTGTGGGACAAACAAAGAAAGAAGACAAGACAAATAATTTCTGCAGAGTTTCTCTCTGCTCACAAACTGTGAAAACTTTATTATTCACTTTGCAACTGTAAAATACTGTGAATGACTTGCTTACAAAAAATAGGGGTTACTCCCTCTATTTATAATTGCGCTTACACCCTAAGCCCTAAATATCTATTTTGTTACTAAATCAAATCTAATCTATTCTAGATTTAAATCAAATCTATTTAAATCTAAACAAATCTAATATTTTTGACACTATGAATTACAATTTAACACACCACCTAATTCATTGTGTCTAAACTATCTATGTTTATCATGGCTCTTAGTCTTTTGAATACTTCAACTTGCACTCCCTTCGTCATGATATGTTCAATCTGATTCTCAGTTCTGCAGTGTTCCAAATTCATCTTCCCATCTGCTACCTGCTCTCGAAGATAATGGAACTTCATTTCGATGTGCTTACTTCGACTATGTGCTATTGGGTTCTTCGCTAGATTGATAGCTGGCATGTTGTCGATCTTTATGGTAATTGCTCCATAATCTTTCCCTGTTATCGCTTCGACCATGTTCACCATCCAAGTTGCTTGACATGCACAAAAAGAAGCAGCTATGTATTCTGCTTCACATGATGATAATGCCACTATTGGTTCCTTTCTTGAATTCCAAGAAACTGGTGCAGCACCTAGCATAAACACATATCCTGCTGTTGACTTTCGATCTTCAACATCACTACACCAACTCGAATCAATGTATGCCACAAACTTGCATTCTTTTCCTTTATCAGTCGCAGGAAACAAAATGCCATAATCAAAAGTCCCTTTGAGATACCTTAGTATCCTCTTCACTGCTGCTAGATGTGATACCTTTGGCTTCTGCATGAATCTACTTACCATACCTACACTATATGCTAAGTCAGGCCTTGTATGACAAATGTATCTCAATGATCCTATAAGTCTTTTGTATTGGGTTGGATCGACATCACCTTCATCTGCATCTTTCGACAATTGCATTCTTCCATCTCAAACCTCTTGATAATTTCTCCTGCATATCTTCTTTGATGCATCATCAAACCTCTACTGCTCTTGTAGAATTTGATACCAAGGAAATATGAAATCTCACCCAAATCAGACATTTCGAATTCCATGTTGAGATCACCTTTGAAGTCTTCGATCTCACTTTTACAGCTACTTGTTATCAACAAATCATCTACATAGAGACATAGTATAAGCAATTCACTCTTGCTTCTTCTTACATATACTCCATGTTCAGTTTTGCACTTTACAAATTCCTTCTCCCTTAGGAAACTATCAATTTTCTTATTCTAATCCCTTGGAGCTTGTTTCAATCCATACAGGGCTTTATGCAACATGTGCACCTTTCTTTCTTCGTCATGTTTCACAAACCCAACTGGTTGTTTAACATAGACTTCTTCGTCTAAGGGTCCATTTAGGAATGCACACTTCACGTCCATCTGACATATGTACT